AATATTACTTAATATTAAATAATATTACGCGCTTATAGAGTAGCTATATACAAAACTGTTCATGCAAAATATTTTATTTATTGTAGTTATAAACGATTTTATTTATATAAAATTAATTAAAATTAAAAATTAAAATTGCTGCATTAAAACTGCAACTTTAAATACAATAAATAAAACTTTTTTGCAATAGTAATTTATTTATAAGGAATAATTGCATATTTTTAAACTGCATTCTGATATTCACTGTCAATATCAAAAATTTCCAGTATATATACGTGACATGAACTATAGATTTTCAGTACTGACTAAATATTAGAAACAGTTTTAGACAAAATATAAACAGTTGAGTGTGAAAGACTTAAGAACGTTCTACAATGGCCTGTAAATAAAGAAATCATTGACAAATCATAACGCTGTCAAATTCAAATTGTCGTTCTATTTAAAGTATTAGATGACATCACTTTGACTCAGTTTCTATAAATGATTTATTTTTGACGTCATCTTGACTGTTATATGACTTTTTGTCCTGCTCGGAATTGCAACTTTTTTATGACCGACCATACACTTAATTGCATTGTAAATTTAGATGCGAATGGAAGAAGATATTCTACAATGCGACAACAAACTTATAACGGGTTTGAACGAATTTCGAAGGATCGTACAATAAGAAAGTAAATAAATAGAACGATCAGCGAACGGATGCCAATAATAGCGTGTCTAAAATAAACTCTCTGAAACGTTCGTCGATAAATCTGCGATTTATAACACTGATAACAATAATGACGCGGTTCGTTCAAATGCATTAAAACGTATTAAACCACGTATCGATCACGATGATCGATTGACATTTGCGTGCAGCCGACGTGCGAACGATGTCAAATGCATAATACAATTGATTATTGTATCCCGTCGCAATAGATTCAATTGCCGCTCGTTACGAATTACGCGTGGCACATTTCGACCGTTATGGTTTCCCTTCGGTGACCTATCGCCTCTTCCTAGAGACGAGGAAACTACGTATCGGAAATACCACGAATGATAAATATGAATTATGCTGTGACTCCGAGTAAAAATGATAGAAAACAATCGAATAGGAAAGTAGGAGACATGCGTTATTTGGATCTTTGCATATGAAATGAGCGACGATTGAAAATTTTTCGCGCGAAAAGTTCAAAGTTCAAAGTTCAAACATCCCTATAAGCGCGTAATATTATTTAATATTAAGTAATATTTCTGGGAAGTTAATAGATAGTTACATGACCACTCCTAATAATATTTAATAATATAAAATAATATTATTTAATATTAATGTAATATTACATATATATATATATTTTTTTTTATTTATATATTTTTTCTATATTATTATTTTTTTTTTAATATTCTAAGAACATTCCAAAATATTTAAAAATGTTACATAACATTCTTAGAATATTCTAGAAATATTATACATTTATGGAGATGTGAAACAACGTCAAGTACGGCTTTTAAAATTTAAATCGATTTTCAACAAACGTCAAATTGCATAACTGTTTAATATAATTTTCTACTCAACAATGTAACTGTTATATAACACACGCATTATATAACAGTTGCATCGTTGAGTGGGAAATTATAATCGACAGTAACTTATTGACTGGATTAATTTTGGAAGATTTCTGCGGAAATTACAGGAGAATGTTTAAAAATGGGGGACAGGCAAGATAGCATCGTGTTTTAAGAGAAACAAATGTTCATGAAAAAATTAAAAGAAACATGCGGCGACCAGATGAGCGATCATACTAGGCTAATGTTTTCTTTTTTCGAAGGTTTTGACATTCGAATTTCAAGTCTCAAAAAATTCGAAGCTTCAGCGCTTATTATTCAAATTTCGAAAATATCGAAGTTTCAGAACATCGGAATTATAAGATTTTTAAATTATATAATGTCTGTAATACATATATTCATTTACAAAAGTTCATTTGCAACATTTCTCAGCATTCCCTGAGTAAAATATATGTAGACATTAGTCTACTGCATTCACAAGATTGTACTCTTCGAAGCTTCAAAATTATCGAAGATTAGCAGTCCTAGGTCACACGTGTAAGATCATAACAATATTTTCTCCTGTTATTTATTTATCATTATTTTACATATATATATATTGTATACTTACTTTTTTCAAATGAGAAGCGGGATCCATTTTCACGCACATATAAAGAATATCGCACTTTAGATTAGTTAGGATTTTCTTTCGATGATCTTTCGATGACCATTGGAATCGTATTCACGCTATATAAAGCTTCGGTCTTTATCGGGCAGATCTAGGAGATCTCTATCATGTTTCACTTATTTAGGGCAGGTCAATCGTTGAATATTATGAATCTGTGACGGGAAAGCCAGTATACAATGTCCGTTTGAAGAGTTTATTCCGCATAAAAAAAACCGACAACATGACAGTTGTAACCGTTGATGATTATTGACTTGCAACGCGGTGCATGGAAATGTTTAACACGATAACCTTTGATATCGTACGATCGGCCGGCCTAATATTACAACCGACAGATTTTTCACCGGATACTTTACGCGCGATCAGGATCTTTGTGGAGAGATCGTACATCTTGGACGAGAAAAAAACGTTTGTAACGGAAAATTGATAAATGTTTACGAAGGAAAAATAACATTAGCACGCGTGAAAGGTCGTTTTTCTTCTTCTGACGAGAGAAACAACCCAGATAAACATATTTCGGTATAAAGTCGGTATCGTGACTAACATAAGTACGTTATGATGCATCCTCATACGAGCATTTTGTCAGTATATAAAAAATCATCTGATGCCGTGAAAATTGCGGCAATATTGCAACGATATTCTGATGCCATAAATATTGCTGCTTCTTTTGCCCGAAAAAAAAATGCAATTCATCCGGAATTAGTATAACAATAAAAAATCAATACTTTGATTAAAATTATGGTATAATAAGTGAGTATTTCTTATTACTTCTTAAAGCTCCGGAGTAGTCGCTATGACTGTCCTTGTTTAGTGACGTCAGAAACGAAAAATGTATGCCAAGGTTTTTTGCGTTATACTTTCAAATAAAAATTCAAAAATTTCAAATAAAAAGATATATCTATAAAATGACATTTGGGATCGATTCAGCACACTTGTAAAATTGGACGAACACTTTTCTTTTATTCGAACGATCAATAAATAGTTACCAAATTAACTTGACATGAGACCTCTTCTCTAATCTCTTTCTCTAATCTCATGATTTTGTCAATGTTAATTTTACGATTTAATCCTGGAGTCTTCCCGTTTTACCGAAAATTCGTTAGTATTATATTCGTTACTGGCTGCACAGAATTAAAAATCCTTTCGCACAATTACAATGCACACGCTAATGCAGGCGAAGACGGTTGATTTTATTCGAAAAATGAAAAAAAGTTAGCAAATTATAAAACTTTTTTTCGTTTTTCAAATAAGCCCTCGTCTATATTAACGTGTGTATTGTAATTGTGCAAAAGGATTTTTAATTCTGTGCAGCTAGTAACTAGTATTAACAAATTTACGATAAAACAACTTTCCAGACTCCAAAATTCTCTTATGAAACCTTATTACTTCTTAAAATCTGGTTAAAACAAGCATATTTTAAACATATTGTGCTGTTGCAATGGCACCATAAAACGTCCATTAAATGTTTACATACTATGTTCTGCATTTCTGTCTATTTGGGAAATGTCTAATATGGAAATCTAAAAGCAAGAAAACTTTCCATGTTACTTTATGGCAAAAAATGTATTAAATCCATCATAGTTCAGTCAAGAAATATGTAAGCAATTATACATGTATTAAACATATAACTATATACACTTCACATTTATATATAAATTTATTTAAATTGTGTAAAGATAATGTCTCATCATGGCGTACTTGAATCCGAATGGCTCGTGTGGCTGTTCCTCCGTCGTGAATTGTGTTGGTGTCTGTGCGAAGGGCTGTGCGAGCGAGATCTGTGCCTCGAGGATGACTTCTTGCTCTTCTTGGATCTGTGCGAGCGCGAGGAACTCGAACTATCGTAACTGCTGAATATTAGTTTCTTTTATTACACAGGAATATATTAGTCGTGTAGACTTCATGATATTTCATAGTACTTCGCACACACAGAGTTCGTAGGAAATTAAAGGTAAGTTTAACCCGGCAAAAAATGATTATACATGAATCGTGTCTGTATATAATCATATATATGTCCATGCATAATCATATATAATTATATACGTCCTACATCTAAGAAAAATACTATTATACGAATGCAATTGAAATAAATGCTTATGTTTATAGTTGCCCACGAAATACTTAATTCAATAAAAATATTTCGTGTGGACATATATAATTATATATGTAACCATACAGAGACATAGATAAATAACATATGATTATATATAATTATACATAATTGTATATGATTATATATAATCTTTTTTCCCCGGGAAATCAAATTAAATTAAAAGAGAAACATATCTGATAGGAGGAATCGAATATTGCGGGAGGAATCGATACCTTCGATGGGAACTCTTCTTTTTCTTGTGCTTCTTATGAAGTTTGTGCCTATCTGTACGACTTCCGCTCCGGCTTCTGGAACGTTTCCTCGACCTACTGCCACTCAGATCCGCACTCTTCAATCTGTCCATCAGCGAGTTACCGCACGTTTTCGTATCCTGCGACCTGCTGTTGTCCTCCAGCGACGGCGACGGCACGGAGTGCACTTCGTCCAAGTCGTCTCTCCGAGAGCCCGAATTCGTCGTAACGGAGCCGGGCTTGAGCGTCGGCGCTTGAATCTGACTGAGAAACATGGCAGCCTTTTTACGTCTCTCGAGTTGCAACTGTTTTTCCCTGGAAGTAGCCGCGAGCTTATCCCTTGCAGCCGCCATCAGCTTATCTTTGATCCTGTCTTCAGCCTGCCTGTGTCTGATCTCCTTCTGACAATCTTCGAGAATATCGTCCGTCAGATCCACCAGCTCCCTGTCATCGCTCTTTGGTTTCTTTTCAGACCTCGATGGATCTTTATCGACGACGTTCAAGGAGAAATTCGCATCGGTGACGTCCTGAGGCGAACCCGGTTTGGAGCTCGTGTCCTTCTTATCGTTGTCCATCTCCTCGTCGCTTTCTTCCAACGGTAGCGCATTTCTCTTCTCTATCACTGTGCTCTCACCATCCTTCGGCTTCTTGATGGAAAACGACACGGTTGTGATCTGTTTTGTTCCCTGCAAGCTCTGTTTCGCCTTCGCCGAGTCACCACCACCTTTCTTTTTCGCCTGGATCATCTTCACACGCTTCTGCACTTCCTCCATCCTCTGCTGCTTCTTCTGTAGCTCCTCCAGTTTCTTCTGCTTCTCCTCCTGCGGCTCTTGCTTCTGCAGCAGTTCTTCTTCCGTCAGCACTTTGGGATTTATCGCGCCCTCATATATTGTCAACTTATGCGCGTAGTAACCGTGATATTGATGCGACAGCTCCAGGAAATTGAATCTGGGGTCGCCCTTGTTCTTGACGATCGTCTCGAAGTCCCGGCCGTTCTTCGCCACGTAACTCGCCATTTTGTCGATTATGATCTGCATATCTGCCGGTGGCACGATGAAGGAGGGTCTACTGAGCGGCTTCTGCGAGGGTATCCCGTATGGTACCAACGGCGATGGTGACTCCTTGGGTGATGGAACTTGCATCGTGCTCGTGTCATTCGACGACGATACAACATTCGGCATGGCGAGCTGCGAGGACGACTGAATCTGTCCGTTTGGTCCGTATATAACTGGACCGTGCGAGTACTGCATAGGAGCAGCATAAGGATAATTCTAGAAGCAAAGAATATTAGAAATCAGAATTAGAATATATTGCGCATCAAGTACATTGATTATTTGCTATAGAAATTAGTTTGAAGTTTTTTTGTATTTGTATCGTATAAAATTTAAATATTTTTCTTAAAAACATGACTTGAATTATTATTTAGTGAAAAAATTGCACAAGATAATTTTAGTGACTTAAAAGTTTCCGTCTAGCTGGAATTTAGCGACTGCCCGAAATGTAGCATAAAATCAATGAAAAAAATTATGACGGAGGAAAGATGCAGATTATTTTGATAATTGTAACACTTGCGCCATCGCCAATTTTCTATCAATTTTGATTTTTCTGAAGACACTAAATTAATTTGTACATCTAATAACTAATATCTCTAATACTCAAAGAAGAAAATTTACGATTATACTCGAATGAGATTTTAGATATTGGAATGTTCACAAATTCTGAGAAAACTTTAGTTCGCTTTTTTTCCCCAAAATACCCATTTGCATAAATAGATTGTGAGAAATATGATGCGTTTATTAGAAGACTTGATATGCATGAAAACCACAGCAATCATACCTGTGGTGGCATCGGATGATAATACCCAGCAGATGGCATCGGCGGAATTGATGTGTCCAACGTTTGCGGCACCTTAGATGGCGGCGGCTTCCCCGTGATCTTATTTACAAGCATGGAATACGCGCAATCTGCCGATGGCTTGTATTGTATACTCGGTATACTAGGTGCCTATAAACAGAAAAGAGAATTTCTTTCAGCACGTTCTAAACTTAATTTACGATCGTATCTTTCAACTGTACATATTGAAATCCATTTAATATTTTTAAATATGTATGATATTATTAAGATGTGTATCATTAATACACACAGGTCGCACTGTAAACACTGTAAAGCCTGTAAGGCATCTAATAGATTGTACACATTGCAATTACTTAGTTACTTAAGCACTAAATATCTACAAAGAAATTCTCTCTATTGAAATTATGCATAAATTTACATAACTAAGAGAAAAAAAGTTTCATGGGAATATTGTAATAGATTCAATGTATATCAATATCAGCCCTGCGAGCGAAGAAATGTTGGATAAAATAATATTGCTGGATATTATTTAACATTTCATCCTGTTGAAATTCGTACATTTTCAAGTGACCATTCTAAAGTGATTCAGGATGTTTGAGCAAACGTCCGTGTCTCAAAAACTATTCAAAACACAAAATTTTTCCAAGGGTTGTACCCTAGGAATCGCTTTTATATATCTTTAAAAATAGAAATATGCATGCAAATAACATGTGTATCATGCAAAAAAAACTTACCGCTTCGATCTTTGTAAACGACGGCGCGAGACTTGGATGTAGGTACGGTTCGTCATCCGCGTCCGATTCTTCCTCGGGTTCTATCATTAAAAAAAAAGAAAAGACTAGAATCATGCACATATCAAGATAATTGACGGATGGATTAACACGTAGCGGATAGCAATGTATATTAACAAAAGTTTATGGCAATACTTACGGCAAGAAAAACTAAGTAGAATCAAAGTAGGTGTGGGTAATCAAATCCTGCTTTATGTTGCTTCAATTACCTCAATAATGTAAACTTCAATATGATATTACTATGAAGACTCTTTTTTTTTATAAAGAGAATATGCATACCTGATTCTTCCTTCTCAGGTTGCTTTTCAGGATTATATTTCCCACTCTTGATAGCATCGAGGACATATCTATAATATTGATGAAGCGGCCCGTCTATCGATAGGAATGCAAATTGCGGATTGTTTGCTTGTTTCGCCTTTATCAGAATTTCCATTTGGCTCCCTTGCCGGCTTATAAACAATGCCGTTTTCGTTATAATGGCATTCAGCTTTTGAGTTTCCGGCTAAACACACGAAATTGATTACTTAAGAAAATATTATTTCTACAAAAATGTGCTTATAAAGCAATATTCATAATTCAATCTTCGAGATAGTCTTAAGCATGATCTTAAGTAATCTTAAGATACTGCTATAGCTCGTTTTGTTGGCTAGACAACATATAATAATTGAAACAATCTTAAATATAAAATCAAACTATAAATATCATCTATAAATTCAATAGAATAGGGTCTTACTAGAACTATTCCTTCTGGGATTTCCAATTCAGGAGGTGGAATAAATGCTTGATCTTCTTCTTGCGAACCTTCCGACTGTTTCGGACTCTGCGAGTCTTCACATGGAGCCTTATGACCATTCTCATCCTCGTTATAATTGTATCCAACTTGATGAAACGTTTCAGAATCTAGCGCTTGATGCAGCCTCTTCATTTCCTCTTCTATGATATCGACAGATTTATAAGTTTTAATAATAGAGTATTAATAATAGATATTTTTTTGCTTTCTATATAACTTACATTTAAGATATAATAAATTTTTAGATGAAATTACTCAAGTGATTAACATAACCATTTATTAAAATTTTAATTTGTGAGAAATACATAATTACCATGATATATTGATTCCTCTTCATCATTATGGTAAAGAGACCGATACCGCTCCTCGTCACAGAGTTGCTCTATTTTCAGCTCCTCCTCGGTGAGTATGGTCCGTTGTTCAAAACCACCTGTCGGTGGCTCGTAAATCCGTAGGTCACCCAGTGCGCCTCGTCCATCGTATCTATACACATACAATAAATCTATTAGAGAAAGAAGACGATATGTTTTTAATTGTTGATGTACAGTTGGTCACGGCATCTGGAAATCTAAATCAAGAAGTAAATCCCATCAAAACGATCTCTCTGAAATAGAACGGAGTTGTGGAGGATGCTGCGCAATGTTTTTATCTTCATTGATGTTTAGCTTTACAAGTATGCTTTTTATAGTTGTTCTTTAATATTACATATATTTATATATTTGCGACAATAACTTAAGAACATCTTAAATAATGCAACCGATCATACATTTTGCATAAAGCTGTTTCTAATAATTTACATTTCAATATTTACATTTTTTTTCAAATATATATACTTGAAATGTTACTTTGAGTAAGAAATCTGTCTATTGAGGCTTGCATATGACCCAGTATTGTCAATATACATAAATTTGGACATTTATACATGTATCACTGTATCAACAGATCTCTGTTGTATACTTGCGAATTTGTAACAATGTCCTAAGTGGCTTCTGGGACAGAGTCTAATATGCTAATACATACCATGCTGAGTGGTCGTAATACAACCCTCAGCTGCCACTTGTCTCTCTACGCCGTGTCTCACCTTGCTGCTGTTCAGACGGTCAGCCATAAGCACCATAAGCATCACGAGAGATCATCTGATTCTGCGACCGTGCAGAGCGCAATATCGCGCTGCCACACGTTCGGCACGTTCGATACAGTTGAAACACCTGCGGAAGCCTTAAACAGTCTCCAGTTTGCTTATCCAAACATTAACGATGAAGAGGGAGGACTTGGGTCTACGGATTCTGTTTCCTTTTAAACGCAGCACGTGACTCATTTTGATAGCTTTTTTTTTTGGAATTTCGTTTTTGTCTGAGTTGGTCGTTTGTCAAAAACGTAACGTACTTATGGTGCGTTTTTCCTTATCACATGAGAACAAATATTCTATATGAGAAATTGGTTCTAGGTTACAGAAACGGACCTGTCTATCTTCAACGTGTTATCGCCCATCCATGGTATCAAATGCTTTCCCTGATCAATCATTTTCGCCTTGTCATCATCGCGAAACAATTTGCAGCTATATCCGAAGACCAATAGCTCCTGCGGTTGTTCGTCGTTATTCTTTTTACGCAGAATTCCAGAGTCCACCATCCACCGTTGAGTACTTGACGACGCCATTTTCGGACTGTAACCGCTTCCGATTACGCTTCACGTTTTCAGATGCGTTCGGCAACTACATCCAGGTGCACCTGTGGAAGCATGCGCCGTTCGAAAACGTTAGAAGTGTATGCGGTCTGTTCTTTTTAGCTGAACTATCTGCATTAGTTCAAGAAAATTAACCACATTTAATGGCTCCTGCCCACAGGTCGCGGAAATGCTTGCCGCACAGCAAAAAGTGACGCAGCAGCCAATAAACTTTTAGTTCTCGTGGAAAAGCGACACGTTGATTGACTATCGCGTCGCTTCTTGCTGCGCGGCAAGCGTTGCTGCGTCTTGTGGGCAGAAGTCATAAAGCGTTAAAATCTTGTATGTACGCTTCAAAATAGGACCCAATTGACTACGGCTGCGTTTTCTTTGGGCGCTCATACGCTGTAAGCGTCATTCTATCTTTATTGTTTATTATATGCCAATAGAAGATAGAATGACGCTTATAGCGCGTGAGTGCCCAAAGAGAACGCAGCCTATGTCTCCATTGAACACAGGCTATATCGATCAGACGACACTAGAAAATCATGGCTGGTTGTGGCTGGTGGTGGCCATTGGCCAGTATTCATAGTCGGATCTTATATCCGAGACTATCTCAAGTTCATTTTCAGATGCTTTGCAGCCAATGAAATCACCCATCCAGTATCTGAAGATAAACTTAAGACGGTCTTGTATGTAAGATCCGACTATAAGGCTGCCTCCCCATGCAGCGTAACTTGCGTAAGCATAACTTGCATCAGCCAATCAAATCGTCTTAATTACCCTATTGACAATTACCACAGCGGATTTGATTGGCTGACGCAAGTTATGCTTACGCAAGTTACGCCGCATGGGGAGGCAGCCTGAATACTAGCCAATGACTACGCTTTACACGGCAACAGGTCTGTGCTACACTAAAACTGCACTAGAACTGCACTGAACTGAACTAAACCGCACTGGGAAAGACTAGGACAGAATAGTTCAGTGCAAAGTGCAATGAAGAGGTCTGTTCGTTTTCGCCGCACCGCTGAAACGCTAGAGTGTAGTAAACAGCATGGCGCATCACATGGCATTATTTGATTTTTCTGACGAAAAGGATTTTGTTGTAATACAACCACTATTACATAGCAAATCGCTAATAGCAAATCGCTATTTTACTTTTCACGAATTCATGCTAAAAGAAAAGATTGCACATCTGTATATTTTTAGACTTCTAAAAACAATGTCAGATTCGTGCTAGATCTTTCCTAAACTTTTAATAAATTCCTGATAAAAACACAAAATTCAACACACTTCAGAACGCATCCAACGTGTTTTTGATTGATTCTCAAAAGTTAAAGTTAAGTTCTGTCAGTGAACATTAGCTGCTTTTCAAATTGCATTGAGAAAAATGTCCGTATCACTTTATTAAAACCATTTGTACAACCGGTATTCATAACAGTTTTTCTATTCGTTCAATCTTCTTAAATTATCTTCAGATGCTGTCCGAATCGTTTCATTAGCTACGGAGTATCTTAAGATAAAGTCAAAGACAATTTTAAGTGTCAGAACGGATATAAACACCTGACCATGCTGTAAACCAATAGTTTGCAATCTTGTTAAATCGCATGATCTGCGATTTATAGAGGATGTAATATTACGGATTTAAAATCAATTAGACGCTTCAAAGTATTTTAGGATACGTAATGACGTCGTTATTCGCATGTATAAGAAAATGTTTTGCGAAGCTATAAAGCGTTTAATGGCTTGCATCGTACGTACTTTTTGAAAAGGACTCGAGAGAGAATAAACACACGATATAGATCATATTTCAAATGTGAGAAAAGTTCAAAGAAAATCTTCGGTCGAAGGGGCCTGAAAGTCAAAGGTAAAAGGCGAAGGAAGTAACGGGTCTTCCTTTGTTCTTCCTATATTCTGGCTAGCATCGTCACTCAGGGATCATCTAATACAAAAGTCGTGAACCACCTGTGGAATTTCTCTTTCTTCTTCTTTCTATTGACTAAAGGACATCCAGATAGGTATCACGGAGTTATTTCGTTTTTCTTAGAAAACGCGATAGAAATCTAGAAAACAATTGAATCCGATCTGATTGGATCGCGATCGGATCGGAAACTTCTCTGAACAGTTTCACAATATGTACCTGATCTGATTGTTACGGTTTCCTATAACCGCCATAAATTGCCTGTAAAAATATCTCATTCGATACCTGCTTGATGCATTTTTCTTCGCTCACAAAAATATGTTTCTTGTTGGTTCATCCGCGTTTATTAAACACTTGAATGTCTTGTCACATAATATCAAGCCAGATAGCACAAATTGGGACATAAAACGTCTTAAAGACGTCCTTAAGATGTCATATGCCGATTTTGGACATTATGCCGTCCGGGAAACGAAGATGTAGATGAATAAATTCTCATCAGCCGATTACTCGACGGCGCGTGCCACGATCGGGCAGAGAAAATGACGAAGTGACGTAAAATGTCGGGGAAATAACTCACCGTTCGATCGCTCTCTCGTCGCTCTCCGACGTTATCGCAATTTTCCGTCCGGAGGAAAGAAAGCGGTCGCGGCATTTCGTCGAAATAGGGAGAAATCGTGGGCGGCGCGCGCTCGCCGGTCCGAGCCGCGACGGGGCGCCACGCTCGATGCTGAGTTGCCGATGATAGCGCGCGTATTTATCGCACGGCTTTTCGATCCGGCCGACTTTTATTCGCGATAACGGCGGATTAGGCACCGGCGGAATATTTCGCCGGCCGGCGGCCGCGTCCGCGCGCAATTGCTCGCGCGCGGCAGCCCCGCGCGCTGGGCCGCTCAGTGCGTTATGGAATGCGCGACGGGCAGCTACCGTGTTACGCGGCTCCGCAGGATGCTCGGCCGAGAATGCACGCTAAACGCCCGGAAAGCCGTGCGCCGCGGCCGCCGTCTTGACGTCTCGCCGCCCGACATCGGACACGGTGCGTACCTCGGCCGTAGGCTGCCCACGCCGACCCGAGAAACACGCTCCCGTATTTTTCGTCGGTAGCACCGGGTATACGTGGCAACAGAGCGTGGCTGCCGTGTGAGAGCGCAGCTCTCTGTCACTTCCTAGTCAAGAGAGAATTCCCGTGTCGGCGGCACCAAACGAGGCACGTCGCCTATACGCGTGCAGTGAGACGGGGACGTCGCGTGGGATCCTCGACGTGCTCCCACGCTGGAATCGCGTACGCCGCCGCCGACAACGCGCGCTTCTTCTGCGATCGCGGGTCGCGCGCGTCTAGCACTAGTTCGTAGAGATCGCGGGTGCTGATTCCCGGCCGCCCGACGACGCTGCCGAGGATCGCCTCGAGGTTCGCCCAAAGGATGATGTGAGGTGCACGTTTGTCCCCCCCCCGGAACGGAGGAGCACTGACGCGCGTACCCGGATAGCACGCCGCAGCGGAGGCTGTCGATTTTCGACGGAAATAGCGCGATAGGAATTTCATGCTACGTAAGTGTCGCCGTTGGTTAGCTGGACTACTGGTGTTACGTCCGCTCATGTTTCATCGGGGAGGTTGATACTCGCGAGGATACGTCCGCACGGAATTCCGCCGTCGCCTATCCGGCTACTGGTGTTACGCGCAGTCCTCGTCCAGCATATTCTGTGATGTCAATGCTGAGAATGATGCAGCCATACACTATCAAACGATTCGAAGACACAAATGAGAACTGAATATGCGGTTTTCATGTGTGTGTTCTTAATATATGTATAAATATTTGGAATGTATACGAGTGTCACGTGGACAACCAGTCATATCCGACTGATTGCTTGGATCATTCTCAATGATTGCAAACAATCCATGTAATATCTGTGGTATGATACGTGATTAGAGGATCATCGTACAGATATACGTATAGATTTGCTGAAATAACCTCTAGCAAGAAGGTGACAGTTGAGAGGTTAGCGCTAGGTCTGTTCTCTCTCAACGAACTTCCAGAACTGGCGTATGTTGGTAATCAGAGTGAAACAGTTGATTTCACTCCAACTTAGTTGTTGGAAAAAAACAAACAGACCGTTTCTCTTACTAAGGACAGAAATGCTAATTTCGCTTCTCTCGTCACAGATATTTCCAATGGACCGACACACCTGCAGGCTGTAACGGCACAGAATGCGACTAATTTATTTACTCCTTGGACACTTGCCTCCCTGCAGCGGCGTCATCCGTACAAGATAGTTAACCCGACGAGAGTTAATGGTGCTTTCACGCTTCTGTCGTTATCCTCCCATCGGTACAATGGAGGAGCCAGTTAAGAAGAAGCAGCGGATCGACGGTAGCGAGGAGCCCAAGAGTGCGCTGGCCGACATCGAGGAACTGCAGAACAGCCTGCTGGCGCAGTGCCTGTGCAACGTATCGGAGAGCAGTCTGCGCAAGCCGTTCACAAGCACCACCGTGGAGGCGGCCGACGGCAGCTTTCGCTATTTCGTCTTGTCCGAGTGGAGCAACGAGCAGACCCTGAAGTTCCTCAGCGCTCTGCAGCTGCTGTTCGACCTGGCGATCAAGCAGAACGTGAGGGGCCTGATGTGTAAGCGAGTGTTGGACACGTGCAAGGCGTTGGCGCGCAACGAGCACGGCGTGATCGATCAGATCGTCGAGCTGTCCTACACGAGCGACAAGTTCGTGTCGTTCGCGGCGAGCCGAGTACTCGCGTCCTTCTTCATCGTCACGAAGGACAACGTGCAGCCGTGGCTGGAGAAGCTCACGCAGTCCCTGCTGAACACGCACTCGCCCGGCCAGATGCTTTTCATCCTGGATGTGGTGAAGAGGGTGGTCGAGCACAAGGACTGCAGTACACACCCGGTGGAGGACGCAGACGCGTCTACCCCGCCGCCCGGCTGCAACACCATCCTCATCTCCGACTCCGAGAGCTTCGACAGCACGACGATCAAGGCGACCTGCGTGAAAGCGCTCGAGTCCAAGTGGATCATCCTGGTGTCCAAGTTCGAGGCCATCCTGAACGCGTACACGCCGCAGCACGAGTCCGTCGTGATCACCTTCCTGCATCTCTGGGAGACCGTGATCTCCGTGAAGGCCAATCTGTCGGTCATCGACACTAAGCTCTTCTATTCGCAGCTGGACAACCTCGTGATGCTGTTGAACGCGAACGTACCCAGCGTGATTTGGCGGCACCTGCTCAGCCTGTTCAACGAGGTGCTGTGCTACGGCAGCACTCTCGCGCTGCAGGACGTCTTGCCGGACGAGCCGTGTTCCCTGGCCCACCTGATCGTGCGCGCGGTCAAAGACTGGCGGCTCCTCGACGCGATGCCGTACCGCCACGGCTCCGGCCGATTCGGCGGTGGCACCGGCGAGGGCGATCGCCCGCTCCTCCAGAAGATGGTGCTGCTGGTGCTGAAGAGCGTCGCCGTGACGGTGCGGGAGACGCGCAGCGACACCAGCGATTCCTCCCTCGGCTCCGAGGCTGAGGACCTGGACGCGGACATGGCGGTGATCGAGAGGAGCATCCGCGAGGTGCTGCGCCAGCTGGACCAGTGCGTCAAGACGCTGATGCCGTTCCACCCGGAGATGCCGTTGTCCCAGTGGGTCGTCCAGATGTTCCACGACCAGGACGACTTCCTCATCGAGGGTATGGTCTGCTGCCTCGACGTCGCCGTCGGCCTCTTCTACCGCGGCCCCCCGCAAAACGACCTCGGTCATATGCTCAGCCCGACGCTCACCTTCGTCCAATTCGTCAACGCCGTGTCGCAGGACCCGGATGTGCTGTTGGACCTGCTCGTCAGCAACGAGACCTGTTTCCTCCTCTACCTGCTGCGCTTCCTCAAGTACATCCGGCGCAACTGGCTCGAGTTCGTGTCGTGCTGCGCCCGTGAGCTGCCGGACATTATGACGGTTCTCACGAGACTGCGAATGGCCATCAATCGGCTGGTGTCCAAGGCACTGTTCCCTTACAATATCAATCCGGTCCTACGTTTGCTCGACAAGTGCGAATCCTTCTACGAGGGTAACGCGGACAATTGAGTGTGATGTAAGATAACGGCAGGGAGAGAGAGAGGCTGCGCTCCGATATTTACTGCCAGTACTGAAATTCTGTAGTATACGTATGGTCTGTTCCTTACAGCTGAATTGGCTGCGTTAGTGCAACAAATTTACGTATACATTAAAGTGTACGAAATGTACGGTTCTCAGTGTGCGCAATTTTCTCCAACTAGTGCAGTTCATTTAGTTGTAAAAAATAGACCGATAAAGTTATAGAATTCTGGTACTGGTGGTGAATTTCAAAACGCAACCTGATTCGCAAAAGTTGCGTGGTGTCGTAACCCAGCGTGTACAGATCGTGTAAGCCGAGTATCCTTTCTCTCTCTCCCTCCACACTACAATAGCTAGGATCGTTCTCGTCGTCGCCGTCATCTGTAAAATATCGCGAAGCTGTACAGATCATGCCGCATCTCCGCGTTATCGGCGGAACAAGCGACTGAACTAACGCTATCCTCGTAGCTGACACCCCGTAGCTGACTAAGTGCGAGGCTTAGGAAGAGCGCATCGAAGCGCGTCTCTATTTATTAGTTCTAGCGAAATTTCTCAAACGTAGCTGAAATTGCGACGGGGCGCGCGCCCCTCGTCTTTCTCGCGGATGCAGCGGTTTTGAGCCGCGCGCGATTCTATCTCACAAATTTCGGGTAGTTTACACGAGTCGGACCTGTGCGGACGAACGAAAGTCACCTGTTGTCGCGTCATCCAAAAACTGAACTGCATTCGCGTGGTGCTGATGAAAGTACGCTTTTGTACCAAAGCACCATTGGAAGAGATGAATCGTAATATGTATACAACTAGGATAGTATTTATGTGTATACTTCAGACTCTATGTATGTACAATTTGCCAGTTGAGTAGAGAGCATCTGTAAATGGAATCTTACATGTATCTTCACACTTTTCGGCCGAGCCACATGTATATATCGCGTGAAACGTGAACGGAAGAGTCGGTCCTTCAAAATTGATGATTACATCTCGCAACACACGTTTGCTGGATCGCTGGGGTGGAGGGGGGGAGTTTCTCTCTTCGAGTAATTTTTAGAGACGCGGACAAGACAACAAGGAGAAAGATTTTTTTTTTCCGTGTGTGTCTATCCATGAGTAGATATTGCGTAAATTAAAATACAATAAATAAGGAAACTGCGACGCGTAGAAAATTCTCTATCGAAACCGGATCGGATTTTGTACGTATGATTCCTTGTAAAAGCGTGCATTTTATGGTTTTTTTTCATAAACTTTGCTCAACTCTCGAGACTTCGATGTTTGACGGTGTCGCTGACGCGACAATACCAAGAATGTACCCTTAGTTGGCGCTCCGTTATTAAACTGCAAAATGAGAAATGAAATCTTCCACGATATCATAACACTGCCTCTATATGAAAACGAAAACAACGTTATCCGCAACCGTCTCGAGATTTCCGAATGAAAACCTATTTGTAAATAGCAATATTAACAACGATTAATTAACGCGCGGCGTACGCAGATAAGATTTCCTCTCCTGTAAGTACCCATGTATGGCACTAAAATTCTCACATTTTTACTTTTATAATTATGGTGTCGTTTAATTCAATCTTTCCTCTAACTGAGATCATTTTCTCGGGAGTCGTGGCATCGTTTCGATACAACAGTTGAAGTAAGTTTACTGTAACCTTGTGGGAAGAGAGATTCAGTGTCAATTACCCATGTCAAGGATTATTTTTTTTCTTTTCCAATCAAGTATTTATTATCGCCTCCTCTTTTTCTCTCTCTCTCTCTCTCTCTCTTCCTTCTCTTTCCCTCTCAACGTACAAGTCGAATACAATTGTCATTATCGAGACTTACGATTATGTAGCCCGGCAGATTGTCAGTGATGCCCCAAGAGATTAATCGCTACGGTGTTCGTTACATTGATTAGAGCGACGTAACGCGCGCTGTGTCATTGGGACAGACCGTTTCGAATCTTTAGCTCTTAGAGACCGATACAATGAAGTCGGTCAACTTTGGTTTTACGTTTGTGTCTCTCGTGTCTTCCTTTTATATAAAATCACACTATTCTCTCTATTTGAATTTTCTCGCAAATGTAGCTCTAATTGTTCGAACGTCCGATTAAGAAATTTTGCGTCGAGCAGGGCAATTTTAAAACACAATCTTCTTTTTTTACTAAATATTTATATTTGTGTATTAAATCATTATATATATATTTATATATATATGTGTATGCATGTGTGTGGAATATATATATATATTCTCAATAGTGAATATATATATATATATATATATATGAATATATATATATTCTCAATAAATCACTATTTCTCACAGCATCATCTTCCCATTTAAAACGAAAACTTAGCGATACCGTATATTGCATATTAAGCTTCTTTTTTTTTACCTTTTTATAAATTAATCTCTTGCGTTTATACTTCTTACTTCGAAAAATGTGTTTCTGCTTCTTCTCCGATCGGATAAAACTATATCATCGCGTATTTTACACTGACGTACGAAACTACACGAAACTGTACATATCTCTGTCAAGTTTTACTCTGCGAAACAGCAAATGTCCACTGCTCTGTAACTGTCCTGCAAAAGTTAGTTCAACAAGCTCCACTAAAATCAACAACAGAATCTAAGTTATGTAGCCCATTGTTAGCATCATGTTCAACAGTGTGTGTATGTGTGTGTGAATCATTTGTCGCATTTTATCTCTATCCCTCCTCCCCGAGCCCTCACTTTCTCTCACCGTGTTTGTTCTTTTTTCATTCTTACTCATTGCTACACATGTTCCCGTATTATCAATAATAAACCGCTGATCGTCCGTGGCATACAATATAAAGCATTCTTTCTCTGTACACATTATCTAAATGAAAAATGTTCGATCGGTCGCACGAGAGCGGTAGAGAATTCAAGCGATTTTCGCCGTAGTCACGTAACAACACACGCGAGGCATGAGAGGAATTAAAACGTCACGAACATCGTTTAAAAAGACAGCCCTGCTTTCATCATGAAAATATACAATGGACTGTCATCATCGTCATCATTATCAACGTCGTCCACCAGCATCATTTTATCGTCTACGCATTTAGACGAATTAATAGCTCGTCAAAATAAGGATTGTTCTTATCTCGACATATGTTTGGAAACACGTAGTCTGCACATCCGAAAGAAAAGCATTATACACTTGATGTTCTTCGCGATTTTACATTGGACACAGCATAAAATGTCGACTAATTTGCTCGTTGCACGGAGAACCGAAAAACGGGGAATGGGGAAACGCGATTTGCAGAGTTTTCGTTGAACGCCCGTCGTGTTACGCAAACGAGCATATACGACACAACACGGCGGTCACCTCGCATCTCTTACTACGCATATATACTTATTGTTCCGACTATACCTATCGGCGTTACTCAACATTATTGCACACTTACATCAAGCCAACTCTTTCTTTCTTTCTTTCCTTCTTCTCGCCTCCCATTCTTCTAGCAGGAAATTAATTTGCAAGCGATCATTAACTCACTACTACGGGAAAGGATTTCGGTATATTCTGATGAGATTTGAGTGATAAAAAACGGGCGGCTTTTTCCGCATCCGTCGATCTTAAGAAACGATCTAAAAAAGAAACTAAAATACTTGCGGATGTAATAAGTGTGTCATGTAATACAGATATCATTAAAACAGCATGCGCGCACGTATATATATATCGGGTGTAATGGCAAATACAGTCAGGCCATTGACACACAGATCTTTCTACCAACCAGAAGCCTTTTAAACGCTCTATAGCAAAAAGTAGCGGATTCTCTCATTCTCACTTTCTCCCGTTCTCCCCCTCTCTTTCTCTCTCTTCCTTTAGTCGCTTCGTTTAGCCTGGACAATTGAATTCCAATCGCCGATCGGAACCAAAGCAAGAAGTCCGGTTACTACGGTGGTATTAAGTAGTCGGATGATATGAGCTAATTAGCGCTGCGTCCACCGGCTCCATGCAGGACGGACAGGTCAACGAGCGTAGCAACCAGTCGTCGATGCAGATCGCGTGGTAAGTGTGCATACAAGGTAGATAGCGTACTTCCTCGCCCGCCAACAGCTCCATCATGCATATCACGCACTCGCCCTTCATCACGCCGTCGTATTCCCGCATCGGCAGGTGCTGTATGAGTCCTATGCGCTTAGCGATCCTCACTTGCTGCTCCTCGTCGCTCAAACCGGCCGACCCACCGCCCTGCATCAAGTTCACACCAATGCCACGGCTGATGTTCAAGTTGGTCGACTGCAGGTGACGGGGTTCCCTCGTTGCGATCGACGGGTAATAAGATGCTACCGCTTGCTGTGGAATATTGAGAGATTAGTTGGCTTGACCCTTGTGTCCCGAACATTACTCGCGGAATCCTTGAAATTTATACAGAAACCACGCATTCGCGTAAATTCCAAGAATCTCAATAGGTATATTTTATGTAACGACGAGACTTCGTGAATATCAACAAGCCAGACTGTTTGCACAGTCAACAATGTGAAATCATCGACGAGAAGAACGGTTATAAAGAGAACGTTACATCAGCGATAAAATAATTAATTAACAAACAGACCGACCGACCGACCACGTTTCGCGCGAGTCTCGAGAGTTTTCCGAACGCTGCGCTTTTTCTGGAATCGAAACAAAGGGGACGCGTAGCATACGGAAATCGAACAAAGGAGAGGGAGGGAGAGAGAGAGAGGAGAAAGCATCGCGCGGAGGATCCAGCTGATCGGACAAGCGACACGACGCGGAGACGACGCGATTTCACGACGAAGGAGATCGCGACATGTAATTACGTTGTAGGGTATCGGCGGTCCGAGGCCCTCCTGAGAGGACCCGCTGGTGGACACGGCAGGCTCGGGATTACTGCTCAGCAGAGTGGTATTGTCCTGTTGATTGCCGCCGGCGCGCTTCAGGCAGTTGCCCATGTTTGCTCGGAATCGTCGGCGGCGAGCTGTCAGCTTCGTTCGCGCGGCCCACCGCCGCGTCGCATTCGCCTCCTCGTCTCGATGACCCCCGCGCACGCGGATCACAGAAGCCCGTGCGGCAACGGCAACGGCGCGACCACGTACGACGTCCGTTCTTCTTCCTCTTCGATCGCGCTCCTCGCGCCCATCTTCTACTTGCAGCGTCGCATCGCGTTCTCTCCTTCTCCCGAGAGTCTCGCTGAGCTGGGCGACACGATTATCGGCCGTCCGTCCGCGCAGTATCCGTTCGAACCAGCCGTCACATACCCGTTACTGACCGCACGTCGCGCTCGGCCGAATCACCGCACAGCTGAGCGCCGCCGCGAGCGAGCGGCGCAGGTGACGCGCGTTAATGGCGGCGCATGAGTCGTCGGATTTTCTCGCTTTGACTTTTCGACACCGAGACTTCCCGCAGGGATTAGATAACCTTGGCTCGCGCGAGCCTCTCACTCTCTCGTCGTAGTCGGTGTCACAATTGGTGATATACTTCGGAGAGAGAGAGAGAGGAGAAAAGCGTTATCGCTCGTAACTTCGGCCGATAAGTGACCGAAGGCGAAGAAATCGACTAATAAGTGTGCGCGCTCTCGAAGCGCCAGAAATATGTGGGGAATTTCACAACTTCGAAACTTCATCGCGCGACGTTACTCGGAATAGCGGGAGACATATTTTCGCGTTATTATTTGCGCTGAAATGCACGACCGCGAAGGATCACTTTGAATTCCCGCGATTCGAGGAGACCTCTCATTGGCTGAGAAAGCGCGTCCTTTAAACTTCGCAGCGCGTATCGGTGGCCCGGCAGAAGTTTCTACGCTACAACGCAAAAGCGTGTCGTCATTCGTGAAAAGGCACTCTCATGTAAGCTCGACGTTCGCCGGACGGATAGTAACATCCGGGATGTACGTCACGACGGGACTCCGCCGTGATTGATCAAATCCCATCGTTTTAATCCTCCGTGACCAATGACCGAGTCGGTCGAGATCACGACTGTGGGAGAGTAAACGGTGGAAATCGAGTCCGTTCGAAAAACGTTCGAGAGGAAGATCCTTGGATGATGTGGGAGATGAAAAGCGTGCGCGCCATCATGCAGCGGAAGAAGCAGCGAGTCCGGTAAATAGGCTTTGCTTTTTAATTGCATTCCTCTACATTTCATGCATTCGAATGAAAGATGGAGGTTAAATACGAAAGACGGAAAACAAGACGGAGGAGCCAAAGGAAGAGTTTCGATGTGTTGTGGGAACAATCCCGATTGAGAGATTCGCGTATGAAACTTCACGCAGACGGACGCTAAAAATATATTTTTGGAAAAATATAGATAACGCGTGATTTCATATATCAGAGAGATGCATAAAGGCCAGACTTCAACTTGAGCGTAAACTCGAGTTGTTTTATCTAACACGCAATGTAAACGCAAATTGAAATTGAATATTTCACACCTGAATGAATAAGCTTCGTAATGATGCGTATTCAAATTTTATCACGTGTAAAAAATTATTGAGAACTTTGAAGTAAAGGCAAATGGTAGGATTTGTCAGAAAGTACCCCATGAGGACATCTATATAATCCAAATAAAGAAATTGATTCTACGTCAATTCTATGTCGATTCCACGAATGGGATTTTAATGCGATCTTAATGGGATAGTACAATCACCTAATCGAAATTTTAACGATTATCTGCAAAATGAATCTATATTTTAAATTTAACGAGTATTATATTATATTATAACATATAATATTATATATTTTATCTTTAATCAATAAAAACGAATTCGCTCGATTACATATTTATATTTGTCTTTATTTGAAGTACATAGTAAAAAGTATTTTGTTCTTATATTAAAATCGGTCCTTGTTCAAATTTCTATGTTAAATTTTTAATATACATAATATGTGTAAATTTAACATATTCTGTTTATGTTATTTCAACATTTTATGTTTTGCCGATATTCAACATGTGTGAGTGTTAGAAGTATTAAAATAACACATTTTATACTTCAGTATCGATAAACGTATTAATTTTACGTTAATTTTTTACATAAGTTTTAGTAATATTACTCTTCAATATATTCATCTTGTGTTAAATGAACACAAAAATTTATGTAGAACGTTTGGGACATGTAAAATGTGTTAAATTTAATACAAAATTCTTCACTGTGTAAAATAAGACCCAAATAAAATAACGTTGAAACAACATTAAAATAATCAGAAAGTGATGGAAAAAGTGAATTTTTTTTTGACGCCATCATTTTGACGTCTCTATGATTTTCTGTTTTATCTGGAGTCCAGGTAAAATAGGACGACGATGATATAAAAATGATACTAAATGATCAAAAAGTGAGTTTTTATAGTCATTTTCTCATTATTCTGACATCATTTCGACGTTGTGATTTTCTGTTCTACCTGAGGGAGTATTTGAATCTCATAGGACCGAGGTAGAAACAAAGTGTAGAACAAGCAGCTCGAAACGAACGACTTGCTATTGCAACGACAGGCTTATGAAAGACGCAATTTCTACATTTTACTTTGTTTTCTTCTCACTCGCAGCCAGACGCACGAATATCCGATTCGCTCTGATTGCGGAAGGTGTAAAGCCACGGTGAACGGAGATAATTGCCTGACAGTTGGTAACCCTGTGCCAACTGTGATCGGAGAAAACGTGCGAGGTGTCGTGGTGTCCGCGTTCGAAACGCCGAGGGGAAAGTCTCGCAGTCTCGTTTTTACGTTCGTTTCGCCGGGCGAGTGACGTGAAGCGACGTGACGAGTGGTAGAAAAAGAGAGAGACCTGACGGTGGTGTTATCAGATAGAAGTAAAGGAAAAATGGACAGGTACGCGACGTGGCTGTCCCTGTTGTACGTGTCGGGGAGTGTGCTCTTAGCGCACACGAGCCACGTAGCCGGCTCGACGACGATACGCGGTGTACCGTTGGCGATGAGATCGATGTACAGCCCGAGTCGCGAATTTTTCGAATGCTTAGACGGCAGTATGCTGATACCGTTTTCAAACGTCAACGACAACTACTGCGACTGTGCGGACGCCAGCGACGAGCCCGGCACGTCGGCATGCGGTAACGGCATATTCTATTGCGAGAACGCCGGCCACCAACCGCATTACGTGCCGTCGTCCTGGGTCAACGACGGCGTGTGCGACTGTTGCGACGCGAGCGACGAGTACGACTACCCGTCCGAGTCCAAGTGCCAAAACACATGCCACATATTGGCGAAGGAAGCGAAACTGGTGCAGCAAAAAGCGGAGCAGCAGGCGCGCGACGGCAACAAGGTGCGCCTGGAGATGGTGAGCAAGGGCAAGGCCATCAAGGCGGAGTATCGGTCGCAGTTGGTGAAGCTCAGGGCGAGTTACGAGGAGGCGGAGCTGATGAAGAAGGAGAAGGAGATACTGAAGGCGCAGACGGAGGAGAGGGAGAAGTTAGCGTTGGAAAAGTACAAACCAGCTGAGCCGGTTACTGAGGAGGAGTCGTTAGTGGCTTCGGAAACTAGAATGTTATTGATCGACCCTGAATTGGAAAAATGTTTCCGTATTCTGGATGAAAACAATGATGGTACACTGACATTGCATGAAGTGGAACAGAGAGTCCTCGATGGCAAGAATATCCCTTCGTCTGTGACAGTGCACGATTCAAAGTACGTTCTGTTTGGCCAGTTGGCTGGCACATGGGATGAATTCTTGAGTATGGCACGGGAAAAGGAGCACCATGAAGTAAAACTTGCAGTGGAAAGTAAGTAATGATAATGTTCATACCTTCCTTTCTCATCAACATGTTAACATCATTGTATATTATAATCATATATTATAGTCCTATACATTATGAATATATTAGTAATAAGAAGAAACAAAAAGAGAGTGCAAGATTTGTATAATTATGTATAAAGAGAAAATAAGTTTATTAAGAAATAGTCTATGTAGACAAATTAATATTAAATGATAAGAGCACACGACATAGAGAATGTAAATAGATGAAAATTACGAAATTAAAATGTGGATGATTATGTATGGAAAGACCAAAGTATGAACCAAGTCTTCTTGGCGAAAAAACTGAAGTAATATATAGAATACTTCAGATGTTATATAACGACCAAACTGCATTGGTGTGTTCTATGGATAAAGATAAGAAAAAATGTTATATAATGTTGACGTCAAAATGAGAAAATAACTATAATTCACTTTCTTGATCACTTTCTCATCATTTTAATGTCATTTAATGTTATCGTGATTTTCACTTCTATCTGGGTCTCATTTTACACAAAAAAATTAAAAAAATTGTATTAAATATAAGCCCATAGAATCTTTATTAAAAAGTTACAACTAAAGAATAAAATCTGTCGCAATTGAAAGAAATTTGCTTTTGTTATTAATAGGTATTAGTAGAGTTTGTTATTAATAGAGAGATATAGACAATATAATTTTATTAATTCTATTTTTCAAAATGTCGTTCTTGATATACTGAACGATGTAGTACTTTTCTACTAGAAAATTTTCGCTAGTATTCCGTCACAAGTCGAGTATTCCTATTACAGAAACTGTAGTTGAAATGAATATCTGCATATTCTTTGTTCAAAAATTGTGGCATTTCGGCACAAAGTTGTATAATATACTGATAGTTACCAGTGTTGACAGTAGTTACTGTAATTTGAAAAAATAAACAGCTTATATATAACAGTATAACAATAAGAGTATAATATCGCTCAATATTTATAAATATTCACAGACAATTGTGATTGGTGGGTACATTTCGTTTTTTACCTGAACATCAATTCCATCGAATACATATATATAGATTATTAAAAAAAAAATTCTATAGAATGTTGAAGTGATGCTTACAAGGGGAAATATTTTTAATTTTCCTAATGAACATGTCAAAGCATGTGGATACAATTGGATGATTGTCCGACGTAATCTCTTGGTCTCCAAGATCCTCAGATTTCACATCAGATAGATTTTTGCAATTTTTAGTTGTAACTTTTTAATAAAGGTTCTATGGATTTATATGTATATATATATATATATATATATAAACTCGATACATTATAATCTTGTTATGTGTTTGCAGAGATTAAGGCTATAGCAGGATATCCCATACGCGAGATTTCAGATGACGAAGGAGAAGAAGGAGAGGAAGACGAAGGCGATATTGGCGAAAGAGAGGAGGAGGAAACGGAATCAGACGCGGAAGCAGAAGCAGAAACAGGGGTAGAGAAGGAAACAGAAGACACGATTCAGTATGATGAAGAAACGCAGGCTTTGATCGACGAGGCGAACAGTGCTCGCGAACGCTTACAGGAGGCCGAGAAGGCCGTGAGCGAGTTGCAGTCGGAAATCAACCAGCTGGAGGTGAAACTGCGCCACAACTATGGGCCAGATGACGAGTTCGCGTCGCTCCACGGCGAGTGCTTCGAGTACACGGACATGGAATACATTTACAAATTATGCCTGTACGACAAGGCGACCCAGAGGTCTAAGTCGCACGGCGGTAGCGAAGTGAATCTTGGTCAGTTTAACAGGTTTGTCGGGCCGACTGGCAACAAATTCTCCAGAATGGAGTACGATAAGGGGCTCACCTGTTGGAACGGCCCGCCGCGTTCTACGCTCGTCACTCTGTCTTGCGGAACGGAGACCAAGCTCATCTCGGTGACGGAGCCGAGTCGCTGTGAATACGCCATGGAGCTGACCACGCCGGCTCTGTGTAGAACAGACAGTATAGAGACCGCCGACGCGCAACAAACGCCCGACGTGCAACAGACTCTCGACGAACAACCAACGTCCGACGAGCAACACGCGCATGACGAATTGTAAACGGTTGCTCTGTCGTTTAGTGAAATGCGAAACGCGCGAGATCACACGTTCAAAGTGAGTGTCGAGCACTTATGGGCCCTTGGCTGGCCGTGAGACGAGATTGCAAGGATTGATAATGTTGTAATCACAAGGATTAATTATAAGGAATCATGATATATGACAATTCGTCGGGTCGTTTTTTCATGCAAAACCTTTGCAATGCGATCGTGTATAATCAGCGACGCTATTCCAAACGCTACCGCAAGTCACTGACGGGCGATAAAGCTCCCCGTGAAAATTTCATAGCCATTTCGAGTCGAAGGTGATACCTTATCAGCGAGTATTTTTAGCAGCGATACTTAGTATTCACTTGGGTGAAACGACGTTATGTGTTACTTATTAATTGTAAATTACCAATTGGCAATTTATCAATCGTCTCGACGTTGCGTAATCTCAGTGAAATTGAAACGTTAAAAAATGTAATGATTGACCAGATTCTGAGATTTGGTACACCGAGTGAGATTACTGAACTCATCAGAGCCTGATTATTTGTTACATCAATAAAAAAATTCGATCGATTCTTTATTACGTGACTCTTGTATATAAAGAAAATGATGTGAAACCTTTTGATTATTCTATCGTATAATTGCCTGTTTTAATAATTCATGTTGGGAAAAAATAAAATGATTGAGAATGCTCAAGTATCTCTGCTTGAAATTGTGCTACCTATTAATAAATTTAGTGCTAATTAACGATCCAACTGTCACAGTTGCAATCAATTTACTCGTCCTTGCAACCTCGCCGAGTCCGTCGACTTAGTATTGAATGGAGCAAGTTCGTTAGCGATAACCGAAATAATTATCCTTATCTCATTCTGCAAAGTCGATAGAGTTATTGTTATGAGAATCATTGCCAACGTTAAAAGAGAGAAAAAACGAATCTAGCTGTTACATTCCTCCTTTTGTACACGACGCATTTCTACGATTGTGATTTAAAAGTGAATCGAGATTTAATGTTCACGACCGATCAGGTCAGATGAAACATACTTTATACCACTTAGCGTGCATAGTTGGAAACGGGAGAGATGAGAAAGAAAGAACAAACAGTTACTGTTTCCGGCGTTTGATTAGTCACTCATACGTACAGACTATGCCTAATGTCCATCATTGTATACACTTAAGTCGGATATTTTGTAATTTTTAAAGGTTCCGTCACGCCACGGCGTGACATGAGTCACGAGGATCTATAATAAAGAGAGAAAAAAAATTCTGTTGTCGAACTGTAATTGCGATGGCAGCTTTATTTACATCAACGAAAAAGAAATCTGTTTGCGTGTAAATGTGTGTATCTGTATCCACCTGTGGCTGTGCTATGTACGTCTGTGTGTGTGTGTGTATAAATGGGTGAGTGGTTGGTATATGCGTGTATGTATGTAAAATTTTCCTTTGTTAATTATGTATAACATTACATATTACAGTGACGTGGTTAAATTCAGTTTTTTTTCCTATTTATACTCTCTAAGAGACGATCTTTCTGCGACGTTCTCGGAATCCGAAACGATACATTTATTATATAGACAACTAAAAAGAAGGAGATTGAAAGTAATAACGTTTGTATTCTACAGCCGTCGTGCTTCGGTCTGTTCTGTTGGTTTCGATAAGGCACTTGAAAGGCTATAAAAATTTCCTTCCCTCGCGAAATTCGACGAGTACAAGTACGATATGCTGCGGTAGTATCAGCACGATTTTTTTTTCTCTATGTCTCGGAGAATCGAGAAAAATGAGAAACAGTTTGGGGTAGAATCGTAGCGCTCTACCGACCGTCGTCAGTTTCACATTTTCCCTTTTTACACATCGTTCTCTTAATCACGATCTTTCGAAGCCATTCGGTTATATACTGAGGCCAGATATCAATATCACTCGTCATCAACGAAGAATCGTAGACCCGCTTTGTTGCCAGGGTAATTTGCATTCGATCAGAATTCGATGACGCACATACATACATAGTTACATACATAATTATTGACATAATTCGATCGTATTTTGCGTCTGGGTAATAGGTAGGCGACAATTTTGAAAAAGTAACACACTTTTTATAATAGTTAAATATAAACGGGGTCCCCGTGAGCATCGAAAATGCACCCATCCGTACGTACCTGTCTCATTGATACGCTAAAATCGATCGTCGATACAATACAGTTCTATACCCCGTGTCTCTTCTATATTTACCAAATTACTACTAGTGATATATATAATATATATAATTTTTTTGTTCTCCTGCATCGGTGATTCCTTATATATATATTCTTCTTTTCATATTTACACATTGAGATGATACACGATATTTGTAAATGTGCCACGAGCAAGGATCACATCCGCTAAACTACTGTACAGCTATCTTTGAATAACGCTAAAGATCCTACGAGAATGTACACGCGCGTTCTGTGACCGAGCGTCGTGCGTGATCTCGTCGCACAAAAATCTCAACAACAACGTGGAAATTATTTTTATATTATTATTAAATAAATTTTCGATGCGTGGGAAAAACGCGAGAATTGAAAAAGAAATGCCGTCGCACGAGCAGGAAAGGCGTCTTCTCTCTTCTCAACGACGTCCAAACGATAACGAAACGAAGTCGGATATCATCGATGTGAACTGTCACGTTTCGCATTGGAATTGTTATTTCGAATTTTCCTCGAGTTAAACCATGTAAGTGCCGCGATATTTATATTTATTTATTTAAAGTTTTTGTAAAGTTTCTGAAGATAACCCAGTAAAGAAGATAGGTTAATAAGAGCTGCCGTTAGATGCGGGACACGATAATTGAAATCTAATAGCGGGAAGTTAAAATTGTTTGATAATGCTCGCGCCGAAATATCTTTTCAGATTTTAAACGTACCTTATGGTTGCCACTTATCATGTCAAATCAGCCCTTTATCCCGCGAAGAATATTTCTAACATTAAATATTCCCTTTCATATCTTCCCGTTATTAGATTTAAACTACCGCATCCAATATTTAGAGACAGTTCTTACAAGCCAGTTTTTTCTACTTATTTATCGCGACATTACATCGACACGCGTACATGAGAAAAATTATTCGCGAAATGATCTAAGTACCAAGCTCTCGTTTGGTATTTCCGAGTTCTTACTATCTGTAAACCGACATCTATATAAAGTACTATCCCATTTTCTACTTTTATCCGTACGGTTAAATTCGCGCTTGTTATTTTTTTTTATCTCGAATCTTTAGCTCCACGGATAAACGATCGAACCAGCTCGGTCACGTGGTCCACTACGTGAAACGAGCTATTGTTTGATTCCCCTCTCTGCTTCCGCTCGTCTCGTGAATAATCGGTGTGCTTTGTACGAAAACACCTAGGATCGTGTGTATGCTCTACTATAATATATATATGTATATATTATCAATCGCTAGACGGAGATCATTCCATCTCTTTACATTTCCGACGTCTCCTTTTCCCGCGTTAAGCATTCACCGCTATATCGAAACGTTCCTGTGAATTGAAAAAGGGGGGTGTGGAGGGGGGTTGCAAGGACGACTCCTATATCGTCGTTTTATCGTCGTAAGCTCACTTTCCGAGCTTTTCAAACATGATCAACTTCTCTTTGAAGCTCTTGGTGTCAGTCGACACTTCTGATATGTTTCCGTTGAGCATATTCTGCAGGTCCTCGTCGTTCTTGCCGACCAGGAGATTGTCAAACAACATCTTCGTATCCTCTTGCTTAGCGACCGGCGAGGTCGGCTGCGACGTGCTCATCTGCTGCTTCTTCTTCGGGTAGATCACGGAACTGCGCTGATTGTTACCATTGTCAGCCATCCTGGTGACTATCGTGATGGCCAGCAACTGATGTATTCCCAGGTTCTCCTTGGGCTCGGAGGACTGACGCCAGTAATATTTATCAGCGGTGATGAGCGACTTGGAGTCTTCCGTATCGTCTCCCATAGATGTATGGTCAGAGTCGGTCGCGGCTATATTTCTTCCGGACCAGGAATCCTGAAAGGGGCGAAGTGGATTGTCAGAAACACATTTACCTTATTGGTAAAAGAAACAAAAGAATATTCGGAGAACACAATTGTGGTAGTTATTTAATTTGTGATCATTTCTTTCCTCAATCAATCTGCATAGTGAGTGTCTTTTGTTGGAAATTGGGTATCGCAAAATTGAGCGACGAAGGAACCAAGTTAGAAATAAAAAGAAATAAGAAATAGGATATCTTCTCTCAAACAAACCCTTCTAAGAACTACCCAAAAATTTCGGTCTTCATTCACCGGACCTTCCTTAGTGAAGGGAAAAATCCTGATAAAAACGAGAATTCAAACACGGGATGTTCCCTCTGAGAGACTCCACGGTGGGTGATAAGTCCAATCTCACGCATCGTTTTTATCTTTTCCATTGAAGAGGAGTGGCAACTGAAACATTTGGGTATTTCTTGGAGTGGTGACACCTCCTCACTTTTGATTTCACTTATTGATTGAGTTCCGGAATTTACATTTTATGTCGGCTCTTATTGTTTTTTTTTTCGTCTTTAACTGTATCAAGTTGATGTAAAAGTTCGTCCTGCTTTTTAATCAAAATTACACATATTTATTTATTTTTAAATACAATTAATCAATTAAGTATGCGCCGTTTTGTTCGATCATCTGCCATCTCTTCGGTAGCTGCATGATCCCGCAGCCGTAGAAATTCCGGGAATTCTGAGCAAAGAACTGAAACAGAACGAACTTTTGCATTGACTCAATATATCCGAGAGCCTGGATGATTTATTTATTTTTTCCCCCGGAGAACCAAGTCGACTTGAGGCGAGTTCTCCCACGTGATCCACGAAATTTCCTAGATGAATAATCTTTGACTTATGTTATTCATTTTCTCATCATATTGCTATCCCAAAGTGCAAAATACAGATCAGGTCTTGTTCGAGCCAAGTATCTTACATTTTTCTCGCGTCTGTCCACCACGCTGTCCGTGATCTCCTCGTCTTTCCGGTCCTGCTCCAGGTCCTTCTCCAGACTATCCAACGTCTCGGTGCTTTCCGAGGACTTATTCCTCCTTTCTGAGTCCAAAGTATCCGTGCTACCAAGCTCCGAGCTCTCGGAAGACTTTTGAAGCCGCGGCGGCTTCCTGGTAGGAGTCGGCCGTCTCTCTCTGTCACGATCGTCCCCGGTCATCACCACGTCCACTATACCGCCGCTCGGTATCCTCTTGGGCGTTCTTCGCACTCTCCTATTCTCCAGTCTGTCCTCCACGTCCAAATTATCCGAACTCTCGGAGGACATTCTCTTGCTCGACCGTCGGCAACAGCCCTTCGACATATCGTCCAACGTCATCTCCGTCTCCTCGACGTCTTTCGTCTCGCTTGTGTCGATCCTCTCGAAGCTCTCGGACGACTTGGAGATGCTCTTGGATAACCTCCTGCCCCGAGACAAATTGATGTCGGAAACGCTGCTGCGCTTCTGCAGCTCTTGACCGATCACCACCACCTCCTCGCTCTGCTCCCGCAGTTCGAGCACCTCGAAGCTCTCCGACGACTTGGACATCGCCTTCGAACTTCTGCGTCCCCGGAACTCGAAGCTGCTGCGTCTGCGCTCGATGGAGTCGTCGCTGACCAGCGGCTCGATCGCCTCCAAGCTGTCCGACGACTTGGAGACGCGATCGGTGGACTTGGAAATCGGATTGAGCAACAGCCTCCTGACCGCCGCTATCGGTCTCGGCGACGATTCCTCGTACTCCGCCTCCTCGTACTTGTCGAAACCCTCAGTGGACTTGGAGAACCAGCACGGCACCGAATCCAGACTATCCGGTGATTTGGACAAACGATTCGACGATGACCGTCTGCTACGCGGTAGTTTCGTCTCCAGTTCTTCGAACACGTCCGAAGAGCCTTTGGATATCCGGTTGGACGGTCTCCTGGCGACCGACCTGGCGACGACCTCCGTCGTCGTCGTTGTCGTCGTCGTCGTTGGCGACGTCGTTTGTTCCTCAGCTACCTCCGCGCTGTTCCTTGAAACTGTCGTGGTGTCCAGACTGTCCGGCGACAACGAGGTCGCGCTCGGCTTTCTGGGCAGTCTGGACTCCAGTTCCTCGAAGATGTCGGAGTTGCGCGACAATCGACTGGACGATTTTCTGGTCACGCTGATGGTCTTGGGTTCTGTCGGTGTCGACACATTGCTGGTCGATTGTTGTTGTTGTTGTTGTTGTTGTTGCTGCTGCTGTTGCTGCTCTAAGCTATCCAGGGTATCCTCGGCGATGGTTGGCGGTATCGATGGGGAGCTGGAGGCGACGACGTTAGACGACGTCGGCGTCGTCGGTGTGGTGCGTCGTGGCGGTCGTCGGTTCTTCGGACGCACGGAGATCCGGTGATGCGCTGCGGTATGATTCAGCCTCGCACTTTCTAGTTGTGCTGTGAGGGAAAAATTGCGTTTATGAATGCCATTGCCGGCGAGGTGCCGATACGAGAATTAGCATGGGATGAAGCGTAATCTACTGGTGGTAGCGTAACGATTTTTCGTTTCTTCAGTTTTGTTGAGAGGTCTGTAATGAATGGACTAAACGACCATTACAGTACGTATCATGAAAAATAGTAAAATAAAAGCACCAAAACCGACATACCTTTTTGTTCTTGGGCCCTAAAACTCTGTTGAAGATACACCGAGAAGAAGATTGGTTGAATGACAATGCAGAAATAAAATATGTTTTTATTGAACGAAACAGAATTTTTAGTCCCAAGAACTGAGTCTTGTTCATAAGAACTAGAAATTCTGCTTTCTTCGACAAAAACGTGTTTGGTTTATTCATTGTCACATTCATTCAATCAATCTTTTTCCCCCCCGTAGAATTACAATTAATGCGCATGGAAATTTATGTGCAAAGCGGCAACACTTCTCTACCAAAATATATGATGGTTTTATGAGAATTATTATATATTTCCTTACAAATAGCTCTTTTTAAGATATTTAAGGATTGACACTTTTAAAAACTAAGTCTCAAAACTGACATACCCATGATACTTGAAAACGTGAGAAATTACCAAATGGAATAAAAGTACTGAAATTACAATATTTTGAATACTTATTACATATTCTTACGTGATATCTTTAATTCCATATTTTCTTAAACTTAAAAAATTTTGCAATGTATGTTGCTCCTTATTGTATGAAAAGGGATCCCCTTCTAACTTCTTCGTTCCTACCATCTTAAACAAGCAAGTAAGAAATAAACAGAAGGAAATCAGTCACCGATAATTTCAAATGTATTCTGTAAAGTGATATTTCATAGCAAAATTCAGGCATATCGTTTACAGAATAACCTAATCCTAACTTTTTTTGCGTAATTGAGTGACGGGGGATAGAGATTGGCACAAGATCCAAAGTGATTTAAAAAATTCAAGACACATAAAATAGCATTGTCAGATAAATTAATTACTGCTGATTTATTATTTTAATTTTCACAAGAGGACAAAAATTTCAGCACAACGAAAAATCGAACGACACTAATAACAACAACCGAACGTACTTGTAAACTAAAAATGCCATTTCCAACTACTATACGTAATAGATGAAGTTTATGTTCTGTTCGTTCAAAGTTCAGTACTTTATAGCCGAGAAACAGAGTATGTCGATTTATCATACCTACGTCAGTTTGTCCCCCAAAAATTATTTAAAAATACTTAAATGACTAAAGATCTAGAATGATTTAGATTCAATAATTTGCGAGCTCTAAAATATGAATGTCAATTGCACCATTCACGTGCGGAGACGTTTCGAAAATATTCTAATGACGAGATTGAATCATAAGACGGATCAGATGGATAAATGAATAGATTGCGAATTACAATTGTTACAATCATACATGAAATTCTGGCAAGAAATGATACATGATGAACTTACGTAAATCCTCCTTGGCCACCGGAACGGTCCGATCGACCGTGTCCTTCGATGCTCTCGCAATCTACATATAAAGAAAAAAATATCGCTCTCGTTATCTGTATTCAATGTGATTGCGCTTGTGTCACGCAATGCCAACGAATCCTCAATTCCGCGGCTCTTCGCGGCGTTCTCGAAGTTCCGCAGATCGCTCGACGTGTGGATCGATTCAAATCTATTATTTTTTTTCTCTCTCTTTATGACTTGTAAGTCGCTCGGAGAAAACGGACCGAAATCTCATTCAATCGAGCCATCCTTGTCCTCGATCGTCGCTTGATTATCGCATCGCGACGGCTAGACTTCGGCGACACGAGCCGACACGAGGAGAGCTGTGATGCGCGAGATGTAATGTAATTCCCGACGCCGTTACCGGTGTTATTCTCGACTTGCACCAGCGTGAGCACAAGCGGCACGTCGGTCTCTAACGGTATTGACCGGCGAGTCACCGAGTGGCGGCCACTTAACCGCGATCGGCTGAAACCGGTCGCAGGTGCGTCGCGGCGATTCGCCGTTCCGCATCGGCAGAACTATCGCGGCGACGACGAGGAGAGGTAGGGGAGGACCCTCGGATCGTCCGTCGTTTTCTTAACTGGTGCGTAATTGCGCGGACGATCGCGGGCGATTCACGCGATCCGATCGTCACGAGCCGGGGACGCTAATGAGCGTGAATGAACGGTAACCCTTGACCTCTTGAGGCTCGTTTGAACGCGAAGCTCGTTCTCTCTCGTTACGTATATTACTCCGAAATATTACGTTCGACTACGTCGAACTCGAGAGCAGTGTTACTTATGCGCGGTGTCTTAAAATGGTAAAAAATGATTCGGACTGAATCGGTAAGAGGAGTATTTCGGAGATAATCAGTGAGTATTCGCTGATTCTCAGCGAAAACACTTCCATTTTATCACCCTGCCTTGTATCTCACTGATTTTTATCAGCACAACAATCAAAGTTATCTGGATATAAGAGCCCATAAATTGACATAGATTCATCGCATATAATTGTTTTAACGACTTCTTTTTTCATTAAAAAAAAATTTTAACATCCGTCTGTCTAGCCCCCTTCCTCTCACTAAAAATTTTCTGGTGATTGTGACTTTTTGACGTCAAGAGGTCTCTAAAAGGCTGCAACGCAATAATTGAAATTACCTGGATATAACAGCGCATAATTAGCGCATAATTCCTATATATTTGTTTTATTGAATAGCTTGTTATTTATAGGTGGGGGGGGGGGGGGCTAAAAANCTCTCCCCCTCCCGTTAAAAGTTCCGTTTTCTGCCCTAATAAAAAGTGCAAGATTTATGCGTTTCATTTTCGATGAAAGTATAAACAATTCATGTAATTATATGCAGACACCTAGTCCGAAAGTACCGAAAGGTAAAGTGACTAAAATTTGAATTGAATAGAGTTTACTAAATAAAGAAGTATTCTTATGGAAATAAGAACACTTCATTATTTAGTAAATCCTATTCATTTCAAACGTTGGCCACTTAAATTATGAAATAATAACTTGGCAACGATTAAGTTTAGGACATATGTTTATAGACTTTTTGACTCTAAATACATTCCCAAATTGACCCTAGAAATATTTCCGATACGTTTTCAGATACATCTCGTATACTATAAATCTTTACTTTTTACATCTTTATAATATATATCCCATTATTCATTTGACATTACGTGGGAAGGGAGAGGGCTAACTAGGCAGACGTTTCAGAAGATTTCGCAAGGTCTTCATCATCTATGCGATTCGCACGAATATCATAAAATGTATAGCAGCCTTATCGGGATCGATAGCCGCGATTGCGAGTACGCGATTGGCTTTCTTCGTTGTTCTAACATCGCGTTATCTGACGCAGACTAACGTTCGGGAGGAGGTGATACCGATCGATCGATTACCTCGACCGTGTCCTCGACGCGCGCCCGTTCCCTCGTAGCCCGGGGGATCCTGTTCGCCGTATCTGGCTGCTTCGATCTCGGGCTTCGATCTTCGATCTTGTACAATGGCTTGATCGAAACCGCCGATGCGTCCACGACCTTGTCCTTACGTACACAGATCGATAACACAATTAACTGTTACGATGAAAATAGTCGCGTACGCGTAATAGCCACCGCATCGTCTTTTTAATAACGAAGGGATACGCACTTATCGCGATGCGCTAGCGAACCCGCTATTTATCATTTGATCGATTACCTCGATCACAGAGTCGACTCGAGCCTGCTCCTTCTTGATCATCCGTTGACCTTTCGGAGCCGGGTTCGTCGTCGCTGGCGTCGCCGATCTCGCTCGATTCTCGTCCTTAAGGGATCCAATCGACACCAGTGGCTGGCACTCAACCTTATCCTTGAGTATTCATATACTCGGATTAAATATCCGTGTGAAACATGGCCAATTCCGGCGGCAATGATCGATCCATTGCGTTCACGCGAGGATTCGGTTATAGCCGGTGGTTTCGTTGCGTCGAAGAGAGTCACAGAGAGGAAGTTACAGAAACGTCGCTGCATGGCATCGTCGATTCGACTCTAATCAACTAATTAACTTAATCGATACTTTGCAAAGTATGTTGTTTATAAGAGATGTGTGTATATAAGTATGTACGTGATGTACTCAAGGTGATGTTTTTAGTAGGATGTATCTGATTGCATTGTTTACCAAGATATTAGATATGGATATTTAAGTGCTGATATAGATATGTAATATCTTTTAAATTGATATATACAATATAAAATACATATAAAGATATACAATAGACTCCCGTATAACGCGAGTTTTTACAATGCGAATTCATATATCGCGCCAAAGATATTGCGACTGCTGTTTTCATATAACGCGATTCTTCGTACAACGCGCCGACTTCTTTTATTTCATCGTTGTTTTGTTTTTTGACGCAGTCATTCTTAATATAACGATAACGAAAAGTATTTTTCAATTTAAAAAATTTTAAAAAACAATACATAAATTTGTATAATTATATTTTTATTAAATTTCAATGAAGTAAAAGAATTTTTACTTGGCATAGCAATAATCATTTCAAACATGTTATTTTAAATTATATGCGTTATGCGAGAAAAATTCCCGTACAGCACGATTTCCTATAACGCAAATTCATACAGCGCGTAACGTATTAACCGCATTATACGGGAGTCTAATGTAATTATAAATAATTATTTTTTATTTCTGTTCTTGTCTCTCTAGATTTTATTTTCTTTAAATTACATTGTCACACAAATCATACTTTTTGTTCATGAATAATATTTTTAATTGTATTTTATTACGTTGTACAGACATTATGACAGAATGACACAATGACAGAATAATATAAAAAGTTTGTGAAAATTATTTTTTGTATGTATAAAAAATGTATTTTAAACCTTCATCATCTTACTCATATTTGGAAACAAAATGACGAAATTTATACATAAAAAAAAATGCTCAATTATATAAAAATAATAATTTTCAATTATATAAAAAATTCTAATTTTTTAATAAATTTTTCGGTTAATGTAGATTACAGGTAAGATTTTAGCTACTCGAAAAAAATTGATCATTCTTTTTACGTCACTATGAAAATAAGGAAAAATCGACTAACATTAAGGTCGTTATCTTACTTCATTTTCCCCTCTAGCTGTGACCGAAAATAATTTCTCTCAGTGCAACAATGAGGACTTCCCATAATTTCCTTTTAATGTCTAAACTGCCTACGAAAATTTAATAGAAAACTAACAAATCTTACGCAGCAACTCTCGGCAGACACAACGAAACTCGCACTCTCCGAATCGGCGAATCTGACGCGTCGATTTACCTCGTTCTCATGTTCCGTTCGCGTTTCCTTCTTCAGCTGCGCGGGAAATCGCTGTCGCGTTTCCGCCTTCGATCTGGATCGCTCATCGATCTTGCGAACGGGCTTGATCGGATCGGGTATCGCGAACTCGTTCCGATCTTTGCAGCCGTAAACGCCGATGGTGATCTTCGGCGGCGATTCCGTCACCACGATACCATCCGGGTAGCTCTTGCATCGCGCGGTCTCCTGCCTGGTCTTGTCGATCAGCCGTCTCCTCTCCACCGGGTTCAAGTTCAACTGTTCGATGATCGCCCGTATGTTGGACGATATGCTAGACTCGCGGTGCGACACCACCATGATGACGAAAAAACGTAACTTGATCACGATTTCTTTCCCTTCTCACGCACGTGCACGCGCGGTACCGTATTGCTGGTCACACTGAGCGGCGGCGACTGGAAGCACGCGGGTGTCGTGAAAAACGGAGCGACGGACACGATGGCTCCTCCGGTTGTCGTAAGCGCAGTCGGACGGCAGGTCGACACGTAAGTGTCTCATGAGAAGTATGTCGCGCGAAATAAATAACGATTACGCAATGTTATCATTGACAAGATGCAATGTATACGAAATCGAAATAACTGTTCTGGCTTCTTTAAGCTTACTTAAAAATAGGTAAACAGTTTCTATCTAAATACTCCGCATTACTTTGTAAATTTATTCCATTCGCTTGATTTTTTTTTTAACGCATAACATCTCCGATATCAGTTTCTCTTTTTCGATACTATAATTTAATAATATATTATTTAAAATTTAAAATTTAAATTGAAAATTAAATTTTAAATCTGTTATGAAATCCATTGATTAAAGATTAGTTTATGTTGGCTTAAGCAAGCTCAAAGTCCTCATTAAAATACGTAAAGACACAATACCTGTCGTCTCAAGCAATAATATTTATTAAATATCTTGCGAAAATTGTGATTTTATCAGTTGTGCAAGAACATATACTTAATTACAGATACGTCTTTCATTGAGAAAATGTAAAGATATGGGACGAAAAATTATATTGTCGAAAGAAATTCGCAGATGCATTATACATAAAGATCAAGCAAATGGAATAAATGTATAAAGTAACATGGAATATTTAAATAAGAACTATTTTTCTATTTTAAGGAAGCTTATAGAAATCATATAACGGTTATTTCAATTTTAAACATATTACGTCTTGTCAATAATAATATTGCGTAATCATT